AAGTGACACATCATCATAAACACAATTAGTACAACTCTTTTGAAAAGAAAGGAAGGCTATTATACAGATAGATTAAATTAGAACCCTGCGAGACATGAGTAATGTGTCCAGCCCTATCAGGACAGGGCAGCACAAGGTTACGAGATTTTTTACAGGGCAAGTTACGGCGGTCATAACCCGTCAACCTGCGATAGAAATAGTATCGCCAACATGCTTAGAAGATTCGAAAAACAAGAGAAGTGGTTTTGAATCAGATCAAATCGTTTACAAATATTTTCAGTAGGAACAATAGTAGTCTTCTTGTATCTCTCTCGAATATTACACACAATACACATCACTAACATGTCTTTCACATTTTTCTTCTCTTTCTGATTCAATTACTGTAAAATGTCCTCCAGGGTTCCCAATGTCAATATGTCCATATTTTCTATCATTTGGGCCTTCGTAACTAACTGATGCCAACGAGATAATATTCGTAGTTTCCAGTCGAAATAAAGACACTTTTCTTAGAAATATAAAAACTTGACTTACAGCTAAACTAGTAGAACACGTAAATCGTGTGATCAATAACGGCTGTGCATAGAATGATGTCAGTTTCAATAAATTGATAGACAACAGGTTTGTACATCAACCACTGCAACATCGAAAATCGCTATAACTTATGGTCTGAATAGGCAATTATAATTATAGATTAATCTATGCAATAGAAGCCGAACTGGAGCATCCATTATCTCTAATAAGGAAGTGGCCAGGTCGAGAAGCGCTTTTCAAGAAAAATTGTTTTGTCAGACTTATTTCTGTCCTAATGGTGTGGGTGTGGGTGTAGATCGTACCTTCAAATCTACACTCACACTCACACCCACACCCTTACATTTGCATAATACCAGATATATTGATTTATTAGAATCTTATGTGGTGGCAAGTATCTGTATGAACCACTCAAGAAATTAAAACTAAACACCAGATACTGGAAATTCTAATCGCAACTGAAAAATTAAATATATAATGTATATATGGTTTGTCTGTTAAGCTAACATGATCAAGGTTTCGATCTGGATAAAGAGTCTCATCAAGTAGCTTTAGTTCTGTACAGTCTTTGAGATTAGACTTGAGAGAAAGTCTATAGAAGAAATTCTCCAAGGTCTGAATAATTAAGCTAGAAACAAGAAGAGATGCGTCTTTTCTCGACAATACGATGTGTGCCTTCAATGTATAAACAGAAACCAAACCACGATATGATGCATTTCGAATGAGACACTTATAGCACTTTATCACCAGGCGTAGTTGCTTCTTAATAGACTAATACATAATCACTAGATAATTAAATCTTAAAGCTCAATTCAAATTGAAAAGAACACTTATTTAAACTCACACAAACAGTCTTACAGTTTCTCATGTAACGAATACTGAGCAACCCTAATATTAACAATTGATCTGTGCAATAGTGGATATGAGATGGATGAGTTCAAGAAGAACTTCGAAAGCTGAATCAACTAATACTGTTAGTTTATATCTAATGGTTAGTGCATTAGTGATAAACACAGCAATCAAGAAATCTGATAGGTCCTTGCCAAGATTCCCCATTGAACAAAGCGGGAATGCCATTAACATGAGTAGAATGCTGCAAACTTGAAAGAGATTACGGAGATGTATATGATCAATAGTCAAACGATCAGCGCATGAAAATTAAATTACATAACGAAGGCTATTTGAAAGATGTATGCATTACTGAAATCTTGAATTGTATAACAATTCACGATTAAGAGCTTAAATTTTATTCAACTAGATAAATCTTATCAGACGGTTTTCAAAAATGCCTTCGGATGTCTTCGACTGCTTAATATATATGTATAACACTAAAGTATCGGTATTTTTTCTATATCTATGTATTTATAAAAAAAAAAAGAAATGAATAATTCAGTCATTCGACGATACTGGAGTGATTAGATTATTTATTTGAGTTTCCAAAAAGTTCATTTGAATCTTCAGACATCCCTTTTGTTTCCTGTTTATCATGATATAGGAGGAATTAGGATGTATTAGAAGGTATAAGGAGGTATAACAATTGATTTTTTCGAGCAAGGTTTAGCAAGTGGCAGCAATATATTTGATGAATAGATGTTTAAATTCAAACACTATTAAATGATCAGTTGTACGAAGCAATCAATATCTCCGATATCTTCTATACCTCCTGTAACTTGACAAATATGAAAAAAAACGTGTCCGAAAATTCAAATAAAGCATCATACGATTGAGTTATAACTACATCACTACGTCTTTCTTATCTCTTTACACAGCAAAGTATAGCATGACCTTGTTATTTTTGACAGTTTTGTTCCCTTTCCTGTGTTTACACAAAACATCGGGTATTTCTTATATTAATACAGTTAGATAGAGCGTTAGTTATTCTATCGAATTAATTGTATGATTTTTATTTTGTTTATTTTATACCTTGGTCAAAAGTCTGATGGATTTCAAGAAACACTAATATCAAACTTTTGCACGCTTATATTTTGTTTCAACTAAACTCATTAATGATGAATATTGCTTTGAATGAAAGAGACTTACCACAATTCTTCGCGAAAAAACAATACAATGAAACTGATTCAAAATTGACCAGAAGCTTGACTTTTACTATTCAAATTTGATCCACTGTCACACTTATGAAAACCCAAGTTTATAATACTTTTTGCAAAAACTCATCTGTAGTAGTGAACGTAACTTCAATCAAAATTATATAAATCGGCAGAGAAAGGTTGTGACTTACGGATATGGGTGAACGTGGGTGTATATAATTTCGCGGCACATCCACGCCCATCATTATATGACAATAATAATGTACTTTATTAAACAAAGATTTATACGTACATTATCACTATTGGAATACTCATTTTAGTTTGCTATTTATTTATTAATATTCGAATTCGAATTGATAGTGTTCATCAATCACCATTGGATAAACACAAGCGATTATATAAAAAATATTCATCAATAATAGACGTTATGTATTTTCGCTATAGATGCTCTAACATACTCAATATACTTTCAGCATTGAGTAAGATATTCAATGAGACAATAACAAACGAATTTGCTGTTTTCAATGACTTATAATTCGTTCATGGTCAAGTATTGACAAATAATTTATTTAAAACAAAAACATCTGTATCTATTGAACAATTTCAATAGTTGGTATTTCACAAAAAAAAATTAAACTTATTTGCTTATATATAATAAGTTAATCTGATTGTTTATGAATATATTATTAGAATCTAGAAAATTTACATGGATTCATCTACAGTTCTGATCAAAGACTATATATTATGTTTTAAATTGAATAGGAACTAAGTGTGAAAATACAATTGGCATGGAACTTGAAAGTAGAATTGAATCAAACACCGAAACAAATAAGAAAATCGCAATTCGGATCCGATTAAAGCTGAAGAAACAGACAATCGCTTCATTGTCATAAATAAGGTTGTGGGTGTTAGGTGAACATGGCATCAACATACATGCTCACGGTGACCGATCAATTCGTCGCACATGTATTATAGAGAATACATTAATTGAATTAAGTGATTTAGCTTAGAATGTTATTTAATTAGTTGCCTTAACAAAAATTTTTCTTTAGACTCTTAGGAATCTCTTTTTCAGAATACAATGGTTTTTTCAAAAATAAAATAGAGATATCAATTTACAGCGTATTTTAAAATTTAATTAAAAAAATTGAAGTTTGATTTTAAATAAAATTCTATGTAGACAAATTAAAAATAAAGTTTATTTTTTTCAATTAAAATTTAACTTTTTATTTTTAAGTAAAAGCTGAAAATTAAAACAAAAAAATAAAATCAAAAAATGTTTACAAATTTAAATTAAAAAAAAGTAAAGTTTTTATTTAATGAAAACATAGATTTTAATTGAAAAAAAAATGAACTTTATTTTTAATGTGTCGACATAGAATTTTATTTAAAATCAAACTTCAATTTTTTTAATTAAATTTTAAAATACGCTGTAAATTGATATCTCTATTTTATTTTTGAGAAAGCCATTGTATTCTGAAAAAAAGATTCTTAAGAGTTTAAAGAAAATTTTTTGTTAGGGCGATGAATTAAATAACATTCTAAACTAAATGACTTAATTCAATTAATGTATTCTCTATAATACATCTGCGACGAATTGTGCTAGTGCCATCCTCACTCAGTATCCATTGTCAGCTACCCAATTATGCTGTGATCCATCAATGAGAATGAATCTTGAGAGAGCATCACTGAAAATTATGAGATCAATTCATTTTGCAAACAACTGTGTTTCAAGCGTAAAACTTGAATGTCACTGCAACTGAAATGCATTTTAGGATTGACTATATGATGTGCATTTTTTTTCAAAGCTTTATTTCACAATATAAAAATGATGTTAAGCAACATACAAAAATGGAGTTAGTAACGAAAGAAACAAGCAAACTTACGAAGAAAAATTGTCAAGTATCATATCACTTTTGAGTGTGATGGAAATCCTAATGATCTATGCATAACGTGAAAAGAGTTCGTGTTACTAACTTAGAAACACTAGAAAACTTGAGTTTTGAATTTTGACTTGACACTTTGCATAGAAACAGGCTTCGATGAGAATAGTTTATTATGTAAGTTTCTAATCTTTTGGTTGTCCCTATCTGAAGATAAAGCTATGGTAAAAACATGTTTTTATATCGCTCGCATACACTACCAGATTCGGATGTTCTGATTTCAGACTATGAGCAGTCAAATGATCTGAAACCTTCGCAATAAACTATTCTTAGCGAGGCCTGTTTCTATGCGAAGTTTCAAGTCGAATTTCTAAACTTAGCTTTTCGAGTAGTCCCGAGCTAGCAGTACGAACTCTTTTCAGATTATTCATAGATCATTAAGACTTACATGATGCTCATACTCTTCACTCAAAAGCGATCTGATACTTGGAAATGTTCCCTTGTTAGGAAAACACACAGTTCGGATGCAATATATTTTTTGTCAATAAATTGTAACGTTCATCGAATTCGATTTTGAACCTAAATTACGAAGCCAAAAACTAATTTTATATACGTAATGTGGTTGTGTTGAAAATATTTGACTCAAATAATCCGATTTCGGATAGCTACCATCAAGATAACTGTAGCTACCTGTTTTGATACATTGCGTAGCTATTTCACCACTAGATGATGAATCCCATGGGTTACATAATGAATAAGACGATAGTAAACCAGACTCAAAACTGCCATCAACAATATATTCATCTGAGTTATTCATTCGTACTGAAATATCATCGAGACACCACCATGCTGGCTCATGCTGAAAAGCAAATATAAGTGTAGTGCGAGAAAACTTTGCAACATATGTATAAGAATAATAAGTGTAATTGAATGGAGCTGCATTGACAATTGAAAGTAAACGTGTAGCATTTTGTAATGATGGCGGGCACGAATGAGTCGTAGATTGAGCTGAAGAAAGAAAGACATAATCGAATGAATGAGTCAAATAAGAAAAATATCAAATCAATATCATTTGTATGATATATAAAAATGAATTGTTGATTGATTGACAACAAATAAATGAAAATGTCAGAATAATTTTGTTATGAAAACTTTCCGAAAAAAGTGAGAGAAGGTGGAAATTTTTTCAGATTTATTAAGAATTCTACCAAGGTCTACGAATTATTGAAGAAATGACTAAATTTAGTATTTTTTGCCTTTATATTATGACAATCCATTAAGATAAAATGCGCTATCATTTTATTTGAATGATAAACGGTTAATGGAACAATAAAGTTTCATTCTTAGAAACGGTGTTAGAACTTCATTATATGCTTTACTTACTTGTAGTACTAACTCGTGTCGTTGTTGCATGAGTGGTCGTTGTTGATTCTAAAAATCAGTAGAAAATCAAATATGACCTTGAAGGCTTGCTCAATTTTATTTAATCATACCATCGGAGACAATGTATGGTCCAATAGTAGCCTTGAATGAATTTGGTTTTAAACCCAAATTAAGTAACCAAAAGTTTATTTCATAATACTTTCCTGCGATTGTTGTTAATACTTGCCAAAGATAATCAAAATTAGCATAACTACCATCATAAAAACCATATTGTCCACTATGAGCACATTGATTAGGTGAAATACCACCAGAGAATGTACTTGAATTCTGATTGCAAATAGAATATCCATTGAGTACACCCGTTTCAAAGCCACCATTGACCAATATATTTGTATTCGTATTATTCAATTTAACAGTTATATCATCTAAACACCAATAAGAAGGTTCCTGTCGAAATGCAAATGATAGTAGAGTGCGATTCGATGTGACATGATAAATAAATGAAAAACGTGTATAATTAAATGGAGATGAATTTTCAAGAGTAATACTGTTGTTGAATTTTTTGGTACTGTTTGACATTTGCTTATAGTAATTGGTGTTGGTAAAAGAGTTGTTGTTGCTACAATGAGAGAAAAAAAGAAACAACTTACTTAGTATAACAATGTTTTCTGTAATGTATCTCTCTTACCTGGAGTTGTAGTCTGACGTGTTGTCGAATAAGAAGAAATAACTAAACGACAATATTCAATACAAGTTCAATAATAAAATGATATTTTTTTTTACCATTTCCAGTAACAGTAACTTTAACCGAATTCGGTATTGATCCTAAATTACGTAGCCAAAAACTTATTTCATAATCTTTTCCAATCTGAGTTGTAAATGTTTGACTTAAATAATCACCAGGTAAATAACTACCATCATAAAAACTATGTAAACCTGTATGTGGACATTCGTTGAAAACATAACCTGCTGGACTGGCACCGGTTGGTTCACAGACTGAATAGGAGGATGCTGAACCCGTTTCAAATCCACCATTAGCAATCAAATTAGCACTACTATTTATTCTAGTAACAGATATATCATCTAAACACCAATAACTTGGATCATGATAAAAAGCAAATGTTAAAGTTGTAAGATTCGATATTGCACGATATGTATATCGAAAATATGTATAGTTAAATTCTGATGAATTTGCACGTGAGAGTAATGTTACTGTTCTATTAGCAATTAGAGGTGGATCTGGACACAATGAAATGGTAGCTGAAAAGTGTCACAAGTAGATTAAAATATAAAGGTTTTTCTTTTCAAAAAAAGAAAATTCCTAACCTGATATATTTGTACGACGAGTTGTCGTTGTCAAACCTAGATAGACAAGAGCAGAATTTCTATGGAGGAACATTTTTTATACATGCTTAATCTTTGCTATAGAAAATCATGATTTGGCTGAATTGAAAGAAACACGCTTCCATAAAGCATGGTTTCAGGCCCGATTCTCAGTTAACAATGTACGAATCTCATCACTACCAATGTATAATAGAGTATTTTTTAAATCTTGTTTACATTTTTCAGTCAATTGAAAAACAAAATCAAATTGTTTTCTCACCAATAAAAACTAAAAACCTAATTTTATTCAATCATATATAATGATGTCTCTTTGCTGCTCGGTTTTTTAAATAGTAAAGATCCTAAGAAATTTGTTTTGTCAAATAGCTCAACGAAAAAGTTTTATCACAATTATGCCCACACTTTTTCTTATCCTTTTAAAAATCAATACCTGCTTCTTCATAGAGATGTTGAGAAGAATCATTAAGAGAAAATCAAACCATTATGTTTCGGTTAGTACTTGAAATATTTTAATGATTTACTAAAAAATTCTCATTTCATCAACGAAGCGTAGTATATTCGAAAATAAGATAGTTTATACTATTGCACTATTTGCATATTTTCAAGTCAATATTCTCGAAAATTTAGCTTTTCTACCACAACATGAATTTTCAGTTGGGGAGAAAAGTATTCCATAGACAATTCAGATTTTTACTTTTTAAACATTGTGAAAAATATTATTCAGCTTACTGATCATACTCAAAATCAAAGATAAAACTGACAAAAGAGTTTGAAAGTCAAGTGCAAACTTGAATAGTTGAAGGCAGAACTAATGACATAGTATATAAAGATTATTAAAGTTCTTGTAAATAGTGATTAACAAAACAAAAACGTTAGATCTTCGTTTTGGAAGTCTCTTGAAATTTTCAATCAACCTTGCATGCGAAAGTAAAACTCTTCAGTTAGCTATCAACAGTAAATCATGCTTAAATTTATACTACACTTAGACTATCTTCTTTTATGCTTTACTTGTAGTCTGTCGTAAAGTAGTTATTGGAGCACTTGTTGTTTGTCCTAGAAAAATAATAGGTGTGCAATGATCGAATTGTGAATTAAGAAAAAGTTTTACCTGTTGTATTTAATGACGAAAAAGTAACATAAGCCGCATTGGGTGCTGGACCAAGATTTCTCAGTGAAAATGTAATCACATATTGTACAAGCGGAACAGTTGCGAATTCTTGCCATATGTAATTACCAGTGATGGTACTACCATCACGATAACTGAAAAGACCAGTCTGAGCGTAACCTCGGTAAACTGTTCCGGATGATTCCGTCATCGATTTAGCACAATATAAAAATGGAGAGAGTTCTCCTGTTTCAAATCCACCATTGATTATTAAATTTTCAGTGGTGTTCAGCTTCGTCACAGAAATATCATCTAGACACCAATAACTTGGTGCTTGATAAAATTCAAATGATAGTATAGAACGCATGGAAACTGCACGATATATGTATTGATAGCGTGTGTAATTGAAAACAGTTCTATTTGAAAGAATCAATAGTCTTGTGTAATTCAGTATTTTCGATGGACATGCTAACAATGGATTTTCTACAAAGAAGAATTCAGTGAATATTAATATAGAGCCCTCTTAAGCAGGAAACAAATTATGAAGAAAAGTTGGAGCGCGTCAAAATCGTGATTTTGGTAGCTCATTTGATAAAGAAATATTCATAAAATTTATATTGATGAAGCGATAAAATCTAAAAAGTGTTATTGAAAGTTTCCAGATCACAAGTTGAATAGCTCACGAATAAAATGATCATTGAAGAAAATTTGTAAAGATAATTCATCGAATCAACACTATGCAAAACTTCAGTGTTTTGGCCGTAAGATGTTACTTATAATAAAAGACCATCACTGAGACAGTTCAAATTTCGTATTAGTAGTCTATGCACTGATCAATCAATATCTATGAAAAATGTTGAGTTTTTGGAAAAAAATAGTTACTAATTTTGAAAAATATCTGGCTTTATAGAAGTATATTAATTTATTATCAAAATATTTTATTTGTAATTGACCAAAAATTAGCAACGAGTCGAGGTACTATATAAGGGCATGACTTGTTATTGTGAAGAGGATTGTGTATTGAATTTTTGATGAATATTTCGTAGATAACATCATGTAGAAATAGAATACTAAATTTATCATGGAACTAGTCATCAGTTATTATTCCTATCGTAAATATATCTCATTCTTCTAATTCAAGTTGATGTGAATGATATTCACAATCTCAAGAAAATCTCTCAGAGTTTCTCAATGAAACTAGCTAGCGAAATCGATCTTGTGCAGATTCAAAGACATCTATTCAATTCATCAAATACTTTGTTTTGAATGTGGAAAAAAACTTTGACAGATGATTATAAAATTATTATAAAAATACTTCTAGAGAATTTTTTCTAATTCATATTGACGTGAGAAAATGAATGTAAGGTAGAAATTCTCTGGGTTGATGCCAAGTAGACGCTATTGTGAACTCATTCTTAAGCGTGACAGAAAATCCATATGAGAATCAAAACACGCAAATATCTCGATTTATACTGATGATCTTTAAGTACACTACAAAGAAAAATCCGTGCCAACCCATGCACCATAGTATATATCAAAGCAAGAGAGTTTTAACTAGCAACCATTGCTATATCTCAAAAATCCGTAGTGTTGCCCATTAATTATATTCTAATCGGTTTTCAATGATACGTAAACTCATCTTCCCTATCGTTCTATTGGTTTGGTAGTTTACACGTATTTTTTAAGCATGCATAATCTCTTACTGGTGGTAAGTTGTTGTGTAGTTGTCGGAGCACCCGTTGTTTGCGCTAAAAAATAAACATATGTGCAAAGAATGAAATAGAAAGGAAGAATAGTAATCACCCGTAGTATTTAATGCAGCAAGAAATGCCACAAACAAATTGGGTGCTGGACCGAAATTTCGTAGTGAATATGTGATCACATATTCTTGTAGTGGAACAGTTGTAAATGTTTGCCATAAAAAGTCGTATGGTTTATAACTACTATCAACGAAACTGTAATTACCAGTTTTACTATCACCCCAATGAACTGTTCCAGCTGAGTATGTACTTGATGGAGGGCACACTGAAAATGGAGCTAGTGTTCCAGTTTCGAATCCACTATTAATAATCAAATTATTAGTAGTATTGAGACGTGTAACAGAAATATCATCCAGCGCCCATTGACTTTTATAGTGAACAAATGCAAAAAACAATGTCGTCCGATCAGATAATGCACGATATGTTTGCTCATAGCGTGTATAATTAAAGGCGGTTGCGTTATAGAGATAGAATAGGTACTCATATTTTATGACACCTGTTGGACATGATAACGATGAACTTTCTACAACAAATGAGAAATAATTAATATCATTTTGAATGACTGACAAAGGATCATGATATCTCTCATCTTTGCTGATGAATACATATTTCAAATGATTTTCTAAATTTGTATTCAAGACCTCGTTTACAAAATATATAATGAAAAACAATAGACTCTTGCTTCGTATAACTATTGGTAATAGATTAAATTTTCTAGCAATCATAAGAAAAAGTAAGTTTGATATTAATTTTTGAAGAGTCATCAAAACGGTATCTTATCAAAATTGCAATGAGCCTGTCATTTCAAAGAAAAACCATCAATCTACTGTCCGTTAATCAGGTTCTAATCAGTTTCCAGTAATAAGTGATTATCTTTTATCAACTGTAATTTATATTGTATTTAGTAAGAATCTGTGCGTCTGTATTTATCTCTTACTTGTGACGGGAGCTTGTGTATCTGTTGCAATAAGCATTGTTTGCCCTAGAAAATAAACAGATGTGAAAACGGTGAATAGTATATTATGGTGAAACATGTGACTCCTCCATTTCATGGTTGCATCTATTCTATCTCGTATGTTCGATCGAAAAGAACATTTTTATTTCGAATATTAGATTAGTTTTCGAAGGCCGTACAAGACTCGATGATGCGATTTATTTCTGATCAAGAGTAATCTTCACCATTCTCAACTCAATAGGCTTAAACATGGGCTATGGAATTCTTAAAATTCGATACAGATTAATATTAATCTGATACTATTCCAAGCATATCTTACTCTACTTGGAAAAAATCATCTGGACGTAATAAAGTGCATAGTTTTACGTTTTTATGGGGATATTTGAGTGCCTCAAAAAATCTCTCGAAAAGAAATATAGTTTAATATATTCTAACGGTAAAGTTATTTTTGCTTTTAAACCATTTATATATCAGTAAATCGATATTTTTGTGAAGAAGAATAGGAGTTTCCTACAAAGAAACGAATCATGTTTTTTTGCTATGTTGTAATACAATCATTGAGTATTATTCACAGACGTTTTTTGATATGTGAAAGATTCTCTGCACAAATCAATGAGCTGTATTCTACCACCTTTGACAAACTTCTAGTTCGCACATTCATTTGTCATTGGAAAGTTGTAAGAAATCACAAGGCAGCTAATCGATAATATCGAGACATAGGTTCCACTGATAAAAAGGATATGAAAAAGCATAGAATATTATAAAATTTTAGTTTTCAAATTTTTCAGGAGCTCTTGAAACACGAAATGACTTTGGATCATGAAAAGCTCGTCCCATGAAATCGTAATCGGTGTTTCATTAGAAATAAAAAGAAAAACTTTAATCTGCTCTTTAATTGTAGTCTAATTAGTCTACAGTGACATTCAATGCCATCGTTCCATCTGATCAATTTGCTTCCTCATTGATTATCGGCTTCCTGAGAATAAATGCATGACATGAATAATCACTCTCTACTAATGATAAGCTATGATATGCTAAGTTAAATCAGTATGAGATATTATTTGACTATGAATGATGCTTGAATTTCAGATTGTGACAGTTTTTCACGAAAAAGCTATAGAAAGATATATTAGAGTCGCGATGTCTTCCTTATTTTTTTACTTGGAATTTGTTGTTCGATATTTGTTGAAGCAAGCCTTGTTTGTCCTAAAAAATAAACAAGTTTGCAAAGAGTTAAATATGAATGAAGCAAAACTATCACCTGTAGTATTCAATGCTCCAAGATATGCAAAAAATGTATTGGGTGCTGGACCGAAGTTCTGTAGTGAATATGCAATCACATACTCTTGTTGTGGAATGGTGGTGAATGTTTGCCATAAAATGTCATACGGTTGTTTATTATCATCCACGAAATAGTAATTGCCAGTTTTACCAGAACCAAAAGGAAGTGTTCTAGCTGAGGATGAAGTCGATGCACGACACAGTGAAAATGGAGTGAGGGTGCCTGTTTCGAATCCACCATTGACAATCAAATTATTAGTGGCATTGAGACGTGTAACAGAAATATCATCCAACGCCCATCGGCTTGCATAATGAAAAAATGCAAATAACAATGTTGTTCGATTAGATACTGCACGATATAAGTGCTCATAGTGTGTAAAATCAAAGGCGGTTGCATTGTGAAGTTCAACAAGAGTGTCATACTTCATGATGCCGGATGGACATGCTGATGCTGGATCTATAACAAAAAATAATTAGTAGGATTATGATCGACTGTAGGTGTGAAGAGATAGTTAGACTGGGTTGATGAAGAAAATAGTCACCCTTACTTTTAGTATTTGAACATGCAAATCAATATCGATATTGTTTGCTGCTCGAGTCTTTCTCAATACAGAGATGGAACTATATTTGATATGAATGATTTACTTCTCTGTTTTGTCGCAGTTAATGAAGAATTTCTTAATATTGTTGAACGATTTCAAGAAGAAATAACTTCTCATTTGAGAAATCGTTCGGGTAACCATGAAAGACATTATAAATAAGTCTAAACAAGTTTTTTTTTTAAATGACAGCGCTTTAAAGCAACTTATGTTTAAAAATACTTGAAATGCACTGAACAGGTATCTTAATCCTTTCAAAAATATTATGTATTATTTGTACAAATTAGAAGAAGTTACCTTAAATAAGTGCGTCTACAATACTTTAGGTTATTACTCTGAGATGACTATAAATTTAGACACAGTAGCAAATCTGACTATATACATTTCCCTCAAAATCTGTTAAAATTCTCTTACGAATTATTACAAGATATAGTTAATCTTATTTTATTCATGATAATAATAACTAGTCTATATAATGAATCTTGTTACAACGTATCTACTATTTACTCTATAAAACACATGAAAAACATATTTTTATATATCAGAAAACTTATAGTTTTGATAAGTATAGAACTCTTTTTCGTGAACGAAATTGAATTTATATTATTATTATTCTTTTGATGAAGTCAATTCTTTCGTAGTAATTATGTTGAGAATTCTAATGATATGTGAAACTCCCACGTATTTATTTTAGATATCATTAGCAAGAGAGAAAGAAGAAACTACTTCAAATTCATATGGCTTCATGAACTAATTCTGATAGAGATATGCTAGTTTTTCGATATGAAGTTACATGACCATGAAAGAAAATTTTCAACCAGCATGTATAGCTTAGTAGTAACCATGGTTGAATCTCATTTGATGAACTTTATTGAACGGCTTAAAATTGTGTCAGATTTAAGTATGTCAAACAAGACAACAGAGGGTTGATACCACAACAGAAATGTAATTTTGTTTCTTTAATGAAACAGTTGAAGTATTTCCAACTGTAGACAAAAACAAGAACTCTGGAAAAATTAAAACTCTCGACTTTTTGTAATAATGAAAAAATAATCTCAGAAAAAAGTTTCATTACAACCCATATAAGGTTAAAATACGAAACGCAATGGGAGGAAAGAGCATATACTTTTTCTCTCTTTACTTCCACACTCGTTATAAATGATGCTTAATGACTATCTTTCAACTTACTTTGTGTAGTCGATTGTGTTGTTCCACTTGGCATTGTTGTTGCTGTTGTTGTTGATATACCAGTATTATTTGATTGCAGTGTTAAATCTTTCATTAATAACTTTAACCATTTAGTACTAGTGTACAAGAATGATGATGGATTCACCTCTTGTGATACTAGTGTTTGAGTTAATGTTTGTACAGTTGGATCTGAAGCAAGAGATTTGACCGATGGTAACAATGATGCAATAACTTTCGTAACAGATTTTCTTGATTTTTGATCCAAATAGGATTGAACTCCATTTAATAATACTCTTGTTGGATCAACTTTTAGAACGTTTCCTAAATCGAATGTCACCGATGGTTTGAAATAATCCAAAAAAGATGAAGATGTATCAAGTGGTATATCTAAATAAAGATTAATCGGCTGTGGACTATCCATTCTAGACGATTTAAATAAACAACCACTTAATAATTCCCATACATAATCAGACATCAATGGTTTTTCATAATGTGTATCTGCAAAGTATTGAATTATACTATTTACAGGGCCTAATGTTATATCAAATATTAATAATGTATTTCGAAGACCAAATTGAATATGATATTGTAAAAAATGTTGTGAAATACATGCATCTGATGGATAACTAAAATGGAATAGAGATGGATTTGATAGATCATAATCGTAATCATAGGTGGTTAGAGCAGAAAATGGTGGATATTGAAATTCATTTTGAAAGTTTAGAAAACCTTCTGTTGTTATACCAGCTGAAAATACTACAGCTGAAATTCTTAATGTTGGTTTTAAACCAATATCTATTGTAAGTTTTGCTTTAAGTCCTGCTTCTATTGGATAATAATATTTGTCTAGTGACCAAGAAACAATAGGATCTTGTCTAGAACCATAAGAGACCATATGAATACTTGTATCTAATGTATATCTCAATCCAGCAGATACTTGACCAAGTGCATCTAATTCAATTTTATAGGGTAATTCAATTTCTAAGATAAATCCTAAATCAAATGAAATACTGAATACACTAAATGAGAAACCATATATGGGATGTTTTCCCAATGAGATTGCGCCTGATTTAGTATAAATATAATTAAATATTATTAATAATTCTAAATTTACTGTTGTTGTCGATACTAATGTAACATTCATTTTACCAAGTTGACCTCCACTTGCAATTAGATCCAAACGAAATATGCTATAATCATATTTTAGATAGCAATTTGCACATCTTACATCAATTGACATTTGACGACCTTCACCACATAAACGTGAAACAAAACTGGATGAACTTGATGAACAATCCATATAAAAAATTTGTTTTTGACTTGCTGCTCGGTCATAATAGCTATTATAATTCCATCCACCAACACGATGTGCAGGGATTTGAAAGTATGGACCATCTATTGTACATGAAAATGGCCACCAACCACACCAACTAAATTCATAATAAAAGTCTGCACTTAAAGCATCATTGGATGGTATTGTATCAAAACAAACACCCGATGTTATATCCGTGCATGATGTTGCAGTCTGAATTTCTGCATCTGGCCATAATGGTCGATGACGTTTCAATTTAACTTGAAAATTTTTGTTATAAGAGCTGTCAAAACCATTTTGTTCCCATGAAATTCTGACCGTATCACCTGGTGTAAACGTATCGTCTTGAGCTGGTGATGTTGATTGGAAATCGTTTGACGAGGCTTTTCCAATAGATTCTTTCTTTATAGATTTAGTTGTCATAGTTTTCTTGGTATTCGTTCCAGTTGAATTTTCTTGATTGGGATTTTCTTGTTCCGACATTAGATGCATTGTTAAACTTTGAAAACAGACAATTGGTGAAATGTTTGTATCATTTGTTATATTAACAGTTATTATATTCTTTCTTAATTTAAATGTATTTGGTATAAGTTTCTTCATAATTATCATTGGTTCTCCTGTTGTTGAGTTTTTACAATTCCATTCTTTTCCACCATTAATAAATGAAACATTTCGTTCAATCCATTGTTGATGTACATAAGCACTGTTAACTGCAGTGTCAAAAGTCATTTCAATACTGTTATTCATACATTTTACAGATTGTAAAGATCGAATAACATTCAGTGCAATGCATGATGTTTGATTCACCTTTGCTGTTGTATTCAATATGACAGATTTAACTTGATCAATATCCATATATTTTGATGACGTAGTCGGTGGAGCTTTCGCTTGTTTTGCAATCTTTTCCTTTGTGACATTCAATTTATGTTCGTGTGTTTCTGTAGATAATGGTAAACCAGTAAGTGGATCTGTAATTTTATCGTCTGATACTTGAAATAATGTGTCGAATGTTGGTCGTGCACAGGCATTGAGATGAATTAGATTGAAAAATATAAAAACATAATAATATTGACATATTATCCAAATCATTATGAATATATTTTTTGATTTGAAACTGAAATATTAAGAAGACAGAGAATATGGTGTTTTGTTTGTTTGTATTATTTTGGAAAGATTTCTTTTCTTTTTAAAAATCATGGTACACTAAAAATTAAGGCTCAATAGTTGAGCCTTGCCTATATCAGAGCGATCCAGCGCACAAATGTATGGATTGGCGAGTATTCTTTCAACAAATAATATATTTCTGTATAGAATTCGGTTCCTATGAATTCATCGATTTATGAATCAATAGAAGAGTGTGAAATCAAAGCAATATGTGAATATAGGTTCGATTGCGAAAGTGCAAGCTGAACTTGTAAAACTAATAAAAGGTATTTTTCATCAGCGTGTCGATGAGCAATTACACAAATTTGAAAGTCAGCAAGAACTTAACTGTAATTTTGAAGATATTCAATCTGTTTGCTTTTCTTAATTTTGAGCTCAATTCTGGACGTCACAGCTGCCCTGCCACCAAAATTCATACATAAATGATCTTATTCCTAATAACAGATAATAATGATGTCCTTCACATCTATCCATTACTCCATGAGAAAACAAATCGAAGTAGAATCCAATGACAACATGCCTAATTGAAATTACAGCAGTATTTCAACTCTGGTATGTATAAAAATTCCGTAAAACAAGCTAAATATTATGACATATCATTCTTTTTCTTCCATCACGCTCTTTCGCGTACTACAACGTAGAAAATAACCAAATTTTTACAATTTTTAGTGACAATACATCTATCTACATGTTAAACACAATTTGTCATTTCCAATCCTAAAAGCTACCTTCAACAGGTGTTTTTTTTTCATTTTGTCAGCTGATTTTTAGTCAATCATGAAAAGCTTTTCCCCGAGCACCAAGAAAATCGACTGTTCCTTCCAAATCAAGTGTTATTGGACCATTTCGAAGTGTAATGCCAATGAATCCTCCAAGTTAATTAACTGAATGAGACAAGACTATTTTAGTGGTGATCGAAGTAGGGCCGTTCCTAATTAATACATTTACCGAAAATCAGAATTTTCCAAGATTGGGAAAAGGATGAATACCTCAACCTTGTTCATAGTGCCATTTGATAAAAGATACGTTTTCTATCACTTTTCTGCTTTTCGAGACTGACAACAGAACCCAATGAACATTACACAAATGTCTCGATCAGTATTTACATCATGCATCTCTATTGTATGAATGATTTAAATACAGAAGAATCGAATTAAATCGAATGAAAATGTTCTGATTATGTGGTTCTGTGAAAAAATCTTGCAATGTGTGCAATGAAGCTATCCGCACATTTGGGATAAATCATATAACAACGATGAGTTTTTTTCTTTTGGGTGTATTCTATCTTCAATGAGCCAGTAAAGTTGTTTTAAAGATATCAATTGCTGCTCACAGGATATGATTAGAGTTCTGAATAATCGGGTTTTCTTACGTAATATATGTTTAGCTATGAGATCAAATAGGTGTCAAGTTGACATCGAAATTTCATCGGTACATCTCATTAGGACGTCGATCGTTTTTATCGCATAGATCAGTAGCTAAACGCACGTAAGATCTTCGCTTCGCGTACGTACCTCCACCTTGTGACAGCTACACAATGATAGACTCGTCGTCAAATGAAAAAATTGACCGTATAATACTGCTAACTTGCCGCTATAAATAGTTACCAATTCTCTTTCTTTTTTCTCCTTTCTCTCTCTCTCTCTCTCTTCTTTGTTGACAGAGAAAACTTCAATGACGACAACACAACAGAAGCAATGTTTCTTATTGTTTCGTTGCTCAATCAAGAAAAATACATGTCGAGACGAGTCAATCAAATTTATTTTATTTGCGCCAGCCAACTTTTTCAAGTACATTGACATCAAATCAATCTTTTTCAAAATTTTTAAACTAAAGTAACCAGTACAAACAATTCTACAACACATATTCTGTCGAAAACTTGTCAAAGACGTTTGTGTGTTTTTAATTGACTGATTGTGTTGCCATACGAATAGTATATTTCCCCAGAAGACGTTCGCTTAGTTAAATAGAAAGAATCTAACCTGAAAACAACTATCGAAATCATTAAATGAAAGTCAGTAATCAAGCTCTCGCAGTGACAATACCGAAATCTCATAAAAATTTGTTCAAATGTTAGTACATAGATGAAACTTATTATTGAATGAGACGAAATCTCCTTCTGCATCGATAAACATAGTTTTTTATTAGAATATTGACGTCGTTTGTTGCCAGGAAGAAAAGAAAATACATAGAAGACACAATTCAACAATATCTAAGTAACTTGTCTAATTCATACGATGAGACAATTTTGCTTAAATTTATGTACTTTCTGTTGAGCAGAAGATTGTCTGGTGATTTGGAACCTTTATTTAAAATAACCAAAGCACTTTGATCCTAATCAAACTGATCAACATTAAAAGGTGAATCACTCCAAAGGTTTCGCTGACCTAATTAGTTGTTTTTTCTATTGTATTTTGAATTTGATAGAACGAGCTGTAACTGATGTTTCAATGTTTTTGTCTGTTCGATGCATGCTCTGGTAAACAATAATCGTATGATTTGTTTATCATTGCGACATTTCGATTCGTGGGGTTTTTCTCTTCAATTAATGCTCCGATGCAAACAAAAAATCCTTAAAAGTTGTTTGTTATTACAAGATGTTGACTAATGTATTTTTTCTTTTCGATTAAACTGCTGTCGAAAAAAAGCTTTACAAGTTACTTATTTCATGTCGCCATTTTAAATGATGAGTTTTTCCCTCGGACCGTTGCTTCAACGTGAGAGAGCTTTTAAAGTTGCTTATAATTAGTAGCAATTGATGAATGGGTTTTTTTTCTTTTCAATAAATGTTATGTTGTGTAGCGCTTTGATGTATGGATGTGGGCGTGATTGTCAGTAAAAAGAAAAAAGCACACCCACAGCCATGCTACAACAAGTTACGCTGATTTGCATCGCAGTTGTAAAAAAAAAGAAACGACTTATGGGCTTTTTAGAAAGAGAAAAAGCAGAACTTTTAGTTCTTAATTTCTATTCGAAATCCGTCAAAGTCGCTTAAAAACTATTGACTATGTTATTATATTTACTGAGTACTGTTATTCAAGAGTGGAATTAGACAGTCATATTTTGAGAAATAATGAGTCTCATGAATAGAAAAGCACTTGTGTCTTATCTGAAGCGACACTGCATGAAAAAATTATTATATTTTTTACTTGCGTTATAATAGTTGACTAGTGCATTGTGTTCATTGCTTCACAAGGATGATCTTCATTCACACAATGACATTTACTAAATTTTATCTACTTTTAATAACGGGTTCGATTGCAGCAGGCAATTTCACCCGAAAAAAAAAGTAGATGTAAGTGATACGCTTGTATGGCTAGTTCAGCCGGTTGTTGATCCTCTACACATCGTTTATTTTGATTTCAAAAATATGCACACAATTAGCCTTTCATTGAATGGAGCTCAACAAGTGAACCTCACGAATCAGGTAATCTTTATAAAGGCGAACAGAATAGTTCCCGGAAATGCACATCTACACCTCTATCTAGTCGGCTCTTCCATGTGGACATAAAATTCACTATTGATTATCACTATTATGAATTTTTCAAATTTCATATATAATGTTACGCATACACTAATTACTATAGAACTTTCAAATAAAAATCTGTAGGTGATGAATCTTGCTATCCTAAAATTGAAATGGAATGAGCTTAACTAACGTATAAGTGGAATATTTGAGGTACTACATTCTTTTCGAATTCATATATATGAGTGAATTGTAATTTTATTCTTCCATTTTGAGAGAAAAGCTTGGAAAGCTTATGAATAGCATGTTTGATTGCACAATATAAGGATAATAACAATAAATGTTACGAATATTACTATAATTTTGGATGTGATATACCAGAATCACTGGAAACCCATGAATAATATGTAAGTATGATACTCCTGCTTAAAATGTCGAAAAACTTCCCTAGTACAATAGTTTCGTTGAAAATATAAAAAAAATACTTTAAATTATATGTGAAAAGAACGTTGATTATGTAGTTCGAAATATGGCTTACAGTCAAAATTTGATCAAATTCGATTAAGTAGACCAATCGTCTCTTCGATACTGTATATACTCACGATGTGACCTTATATGCACTTAGTAATCTTCACAATGGATTTCTCGTTTGGTTGGGCTTCTATCGATGTGTATATGAGCGTGAAAGAGAAGATATTTACACTCATACCGACGTTCACACCTCACTTTTTTTGCTACTTCCATCAAGAGAATATATTATAAAAGTTGTGGTCTCAGACAAACTCAAAATTCTCAAACAGGTTAATTGAAAGAGCATAAAGCATGTAATTGGAATACCTATCTTTTCTGAATGTACCAAGATAACAATTTCAAAGTTATAAAAAATCCTCCAGCGTTATCAAATAGATTACTCAAAAGGACTTTTCTCGTCTATACTGATATCTATGATCAGTATCATACAGCAGTAGAAAAAAATGTATTTGTTTTATAATTAGCTGATGACCCAAACAACCATTTATTTTTGTCTGTGGTCATCAAAATGATCTAATATATTTTTACTTCTATATAACAATCATTTGAATTTATATTTCATTGTAATCAAATATGATATTATATGTTATTCATTTTTCTGAAAATATATCAGTTTTTTGCTGATTCTTAAGTATGGAACAAAATAGAAATAATAATATATAGACTGGAAAGATAATTGATTTTATGATACAAATTTCTTGCTGTCACAATAAAATAATTCGCATAAGAATTCTAGTTTTATTGCTAGAAGTCATTAATGTATTAAGATATTATATTGGATAGTTTAAAATTTCTGCCTTGAAATTTCCTTGTAGTGTAGCATTGGCATTGGTTATTGTACAGATTTAGTCTCTTTTTTTTTGTCACCCTTGAAATCTATAAAACTCTTTTGCAATTTCGGTCGCAATTTTTTCCTTCAAATATATTTGTTTGAGCTTGTACATCTATTTTCGATATTCAGCAATATGTATATACATAGGTATTGATTACAAAGAAGGTATTCATAGACTATAGTAACATCTATTCGAGTATGTGACTCAGCAGCAGTACTCTACATCGAATACTACTGTTAGGAAGAGAACATAATAAATGGTATTTCCAATAGGCCGTTTTTTTTGCATACTCATTTTTCTATTAGAAATGTAACAAAAGGTCGTTAGAAATATTTCCTAATCTTTAGTTTTGCACCATTTCTCTATAAACTTTTCGGCGCCTTTGCTATCCGCACTCATACACTTTTATCCAAGACAAATGAATAAGATGTAGCAAAAATAATAAAAATGTTGAAATTTGTTAAGAGCTTCTGCAACTTGTATCCTCATTCTAGAGTGTCTTTCTTATTTCCAAAATTATTTGACGCTGATTTAAAATAAAATTATGACAATAGCGAAACGAGTTTTTCCTGCAATTACGCGATAGAATGTTTCAATGTTCTGTTTTTTCTTATGCTGCAGCACAGATGAGCCCTAATTTAGTGGTTGTGACATGACAGCCACGTGAGTCTTTTTTAAACAGAAAAGCAGTTATAGATAGTTTTTAAGAGTACTTTTGAAGTTTACTGGTACGAATAAAATTCGATATATTCACTTGTCATTTAGAAAAAGAAATAGTTGATTAAGTTAAATCAAATATTAAAGTTATAAAAGAAAACTTTAGGAAGGAACTTTTGGAACACTTTATATACTATCATTTCGAAATGGATCAATAGAAATGCATAAAAAGAATTCAACATCATCATTTAAAAAATAAATTCTTCTATTATTAAGATCGTTTCAATAAGACTTTTGATTTAAATGAATAGATTGCTTAAGTAGTTTATAAATATAAATATCACGTACAATGTTGTTATTGTATTCCCATTGTGTAGACAGTTATGAGTCATAATTTATTAGGCAGTGTGAGCGTGGGTGTAGGGTTCAATCAAGAGAACATCCACATCTTGTATTTTTTGTATCAATTGCTCTGAGTTGTACACGTTCGAATGAAAATACAACAGAATGAGTTCTTCGACAGTTCGCGCAAGAAAAATATAAAAATGATGGGTAATTTTCTAGTGAAATGGTTCGTCTTCAATTGACGTTGTGTATTGTGACCAATACTTGTTTAGTTCTGGTAGATCTTTTGTTTTCTCTGCAAACAGTTGATCTAGCCGTTTGCTCTGTTCTGGTGTCAATTCTTCCTTCCAACCATTGACTTTTCCTTTTCTTCTATCTCCTCGGAAAGGTAGTACATCAATATTATTGGTTTCTAAATAGGTAAAACTTGAGAGTTTTGCAATTCGATCCAATAATTGAGGCTCAGCATCCAACATTTTCGTATATTTTTCCCCAAGAAATTGAGCTAATTTTTTAATTGTTGATTGAATATCTTGTTGCATTTGTTCGTAGAGAAGGACAATAACATTAGGATCATTACGATGGTTCCAGATGGCAAATAAATGATCAAAATAATCGCCATGAGGCACTTCACCGATCATAAATAATTCAAAATATTCATCAAATGTATCAACTTCAAATTGGAGACGAGGCCGGGCTTTTATGTGATGGTATAATGAGACACAAACATCTTTTATGTTTCGGCTTAGACATATATATTTCGCTTGAGAATTGTATGGTACACGATCGAAAGGTAGATGAGTTTTTATAGCATTTGGTCGCTTCATATTCAAGCATGCTTGTGCACCATGTATTTCTAAAAACGGTTCGTTCGCTAGTCTCTCTTCTCTATTAGATTGGTATTGACCGTTATTGAACAATAGATAAAGTATGTCTTGCATCCAGGTTGTTCCACATTTCGGATAGCAGACAATGAAAATATCATCTGGACGGGCTTTGTATTGAAGTGCTGATCGTAAAATCTCTTTGTCGAACGCAGCGGTTATACGAATACCATCTATTTCTTGGCATAGCCGGCCAGGAGATCGATTAAGATCATCAAGTTTCTTTCGTTCGTTCTGCGTCGCCATTCTGAAAACTTGCTGTGAATAGAATACTAAAACTGAATTGAATAGAAAAATTAAAAACAATTACGTTGAATTGATTGAAAGTGTCTGTTTCATCAAATTCATTGGTTTTTATGAATATTCGAAAAAAAAGAATCATTGTGACCAACTTTTTTATTTCGAACTTCCTGGTATGGAACGATTCTCATTTTCTTTTTCTCCTACTGAATATCACAGGGTGAGCCAAGAATGCCTGTACTGAAGAAAAATTTGAATATCTCTGTACATTCTTGAACAAAATAGGCTAATTCTTTAATCACTGATTAGAAAGTGCTCATGTATCATATTCATAAGAGAAAAATTACCACAGACTGTTTTAAAGTATTATTGTTGACTTCAATACAGAACTGTAGCCTATGATCAGGGATTTAAAAAAAAATTATATTGCAGCTTTCTCTACAATTTCTTAATCTCTACGCCTAAAACTTTTACAATACAATCAGTAACATGACATGCATCGTTAATATAAATACCAGATCTAATAACAATGACGAGTAGAACTAAAAGAGAAAAACTATGCTAACTCTACTTTGTGGTACAGACAAAATATGCTGCTGTTTCATAGCTGATGACAGAGTAAAATTCTCTATGGAAGTCAACAATAATACCGCAAAAAGATCTGTAGCAATATTTCTTTTATGAACATGATCAACAAAGATATTTCTATTAGCGATGAATGAATCTCTCTCTTTTTCTTCACCAACTCCTATTCGCCCACTATATATGGTAGAGATAAGACGCACTTTTTTCTCTTTCTGTTACATGGAGGCTATTGATCTAAATCTCTCCTCATGACATTCTCTTCCATAATAGCATATGCCTTATTCAAAAACGCGCGGTAAATAACTACCTAATATTACAGTAAAAAAAAAGTTTTCTAAGCATACTGAAAAAAGAAATTGTATAGTGCTAATTGTTACGAATTCTAAAATGAAAATGCATTGATTGATGGCGTCTAGGTGCAGACAAACATAAAAGACAACGTTTCAAGATATCGTTTAGACATTTTTGCTTGAACTTGAAAAAAAATTGGGTGAAATATCAATTCATCTCTATCATAAATGATTATCGAAGGACTTAACACAGTTGTTAACCATGAAAATCAAACGAGAGATAGTATGACCTATGAACAATTGTTTTTACAGCGCATTAGTATCAAAGACAAAAAAAAATTCTGGAATCCTTTGGATTATTTTAACCTCTGTTGGGATCGGAGCCACTTATTTATACTATCGATTCATGTTCTCTTACCTTCAATTACTTTTTTCATCGATTAAAGATTTACAACACCTAGAACATGTAATACTCGCATAAAGTCATGCATTGCATCAATGCGTACTCTCGCAAATATTTTTTTCGAGAAGCGTTGTTTACCTTCGAATAATTGATAAGTCAGAGAACCCGTGTGTCGTATGAAAACTCAATAACCATCTTAATATCATGTTTTTTTTGTTTTGAAGTAAGGAAGAAAGAGAACGAGCAATGAAAATAGTAACATGTGTCAAGTAGATACGTCCACAAACAGTAACAAAAAAGAAAACATTTTATTGTTTCAGCGCACAAACAAATATCGCGTTCTCTTGTGCGAATGCAACGAAACTTACTGCATACCATTCATATGGTGAGCAATGAGAAACCTGAATAAATTTATAGGCCTAATGACTATACAATTCAACTAATGGATAGTAAACACATGTACGAAGAGTTAAAAGTTGAGTCCTTGAATGTGGTGTTAGTCATCACAAACATTGGTCTGGTATTCATCTCCACAGTGCCATATTTGAACTTTGAATATCAAAAGTTTTTAAAATATCTACTCTCTAAGGTCTGAATAATTTCTGCAAACTTTTAAAAAATCTTACAAATCTACATCTTAATAAATATAAGTAATCAATATCTCGACTGACTTTGAATATTACTCAAGAAAGCAAGAATTTTTTCTGATCTCATCTCTATTAGACGTAAAAGTAGACAATAGCAACAGGAATATTACTTCGTGTATTATAGAATCGATAACGGCTAGTACACAGATGTAGACATTTTAAATGATTTGCTCGAAAGATGAAGGAATTTGTTGTATTTTAGCTCCTCTTCAACTAATATATATGGGAATAAAGTGGTTCTTGGCTTATTAATAGTCTTGGCAACTGACCAAAGAATTTTCATAAACCTTGATACTCAAAAGTAAATATCACAAAAACGATCAACTTTTCATCTGAACGAGCCAAATCATTTGAATATGAGTTTGAATTGCTTCAGCTATATTAACTTGAACATAGTCAAAAAAAATTTGTACGATTTCTTCAATAATATTTTTTAATACCTCCAATCTTACTCTTATTGCTATCGGTCAAATCATACTACTTTGTTTTGTTTTATCTCTATGACATTTATTGTTTCTTTATTTGGATTATAATAAGTTTTGTCAAAAATCTGTTTGTGCAAATAGTTTGAAAAAAGTTTGAATATACTAGAAGCTCAACTATTCGCAATCAAAAACCAAATCGAACATCCTTCCGATTATCCTCAAGAAAAAAATTGTTTTATATAAAATTCGGTTTTTTTCCAAGACACGGAAGAGTGACGTCATAGAAGAACATCGGCTGATCGATGGATCTTATGAAAAAAAGACAGAGGAATTCGCTGGATTCTTCGATTAAGAAATAACAAAACGAAAATTTAAACTAGACGATGACTTTGAATAAATCAATTGAACGAAGAAGGAGAAATGACTAAATTTAAAGAGAATAGTGATTGTGTAGCGACAAATAATGATTATCTTGTAGTAATTCAAAATAATGTTCTTTGTATATATGATCGGCAATGGATTTATGCTAATCTTTATCTTTCATTGTAATCAAATACACCTGATCAATTTATTTTAATGATTGAGAAAAATATTTTGATTTTGCATGACAAGATCATAACACTTGGTCTATTTCTACTTACTCACTATCTTGACACAGTTGATATTTATGGTGAAACATGATCAGATTCTAATTTGTATTTGTTTATATGGACTTGAGATGTATCGATCATCTATTTGTGAATATGCTCTTCAGTCTTTAATTAAATTCAAGAAACAACATCAGTCATCTGTTTCTTATAAGACCAATTCACTTATTCTCCATTGTACAATGAATAATAAAGATTTGGCATTCATTGTCAACAATCAACAAAATGAAATTCGTATCAATTTATATTCGAGAAGCACTATCAAATGATATTATTCAGTTTACTTAGATTTGACAACTCAAAATCAACAAATACATTGTTGTTCTTTGAATAATAACCATTGGGTGATCATTTGTCTCGATGGTTTTGCACTCTATCATATTTTTTACACAAGGCAATTTTTAAAGAAAGATACTTATCAATCATTACCTTGCTATGCCATGGGTGGAGATAGATACAAACTTCTTATATTAATAGAAAATCTAGTCAATGCACATAAATTGTCATAATTCTCTTTTCTTGAATGATCCATTCTCTTTTTATTTTTGATGTTAATTTTTCTGTTGATCTGTTGAGTATATCTTTTTCTTCTTTGTTATTTTTTTTTTGCAGATGTTCACGAGAAGAAGAGTACCTAGTGAAACAATGCATTTTGCGTAACAAACTCATTCAAATTATTAAAATTGTGAATGTAGCTCAATTCACGTCAAAGTTGATTTCATGATGACAGTACTCCTTCTTTAGCCGGACTGTATCGGTCCGGACGTAAAAAGAATCACAATAAAAAGGCCTCATGTCTGCTTTATTTTGTTAGAACTTTGCGACATTCTCATGGAGAGGATGGACAGGCGATACATTTATTGAGAATAATATCTAAGCTTTGATCTAAGAAATTTTACTCATGGTGTGAATTAAAGCGATGCAAAATTTCATTAGCGAAAAAGGAAAAAGAACTTTTCGAACTTTTTTCCTATCATACTGAAGAAAAAATCGGTGCTGTTAAACTCAAGTCGATTGTAGTGCCAAAATCAAGTATGAAAGGATCAACAATAAGACAAGGAATCAATGGTCATGAGAAATGAGAAAACAGTTAGGTGTGGATGTTGACTTTCTTTTCACCCACACTCACTTTTAGGTTCTTCTTTCAGTGAATACAAGTCTTACAACATTAAATTGATGTTCGATTCAAGTATTAGTTACTAAAATCCAAAGACTTCGTCAAGTATTTTCAAATAGTAAGAAGATACATTAACATTTGATGCCTAACACTTAGAAGCCACTCCTATAAAAATTGATTAGTAGTCAGTGGTTTAAAGAAAACAGATGTTACATTTTTGAACGTCAGAAACAATTTAGCGTGAAATAACTCATAAGACTTAACCAAAAACGTATGTTACTCATTATCATAGTGACAAGGTAATATTTCTTTTGCTAAAATTTTATCGACTTTACATGAACCGATCAGACTGAAATTTCAAATCATCCTGCCTCTTGTCCCTACTTTTAACACTATAGCGTAGCTGAACGTATTGAGTTATATTGTACCAATCAGAACAGATTAAGACTTCATCACAGACAATAATTTTTATTGATATCGATGCATGATCGATTTTTATTTTTGAATTCATTGAATAAAAATGATTTTAATCAGAAAAAATAATACCATAAAAGCTTTTGTTCTCGTGGCAGACGATTTTGTTAGCTCAAATTGATCAAGTATTGCATTGTCTATAGTTCGATAATAAGTAAACCGTGAATAAGTTTTATTAATCGAAATTCGGGTATAACCAAACTGGCTATCATGACACAAACTCCATTTTTCTTCTGTGTATGTG